GGGCGGGGCCAACGGCTGGCGGGCCGCTTGCGCCACCTGCTGGCCGGGTCGTGTCAGCCAGGTGCCAGCCTGGCCCGGGCCTCCCAGGTCTTAGCATGTGGAACCTGCGGGGCATCCGCGGAGCAGCCCCCAGCTCGGAGCCCGCCTGCCCTCAGGAGGTACAGGCCCTGCCGGGGTTTGTTGGTAGCCGAGGGAGGTCAGCGCAGAGCGGCACCACCCTCCCGAAGTGAGGAGAGGTTCGGCCACGGGTGCGGAAGCGCAATTTGGGCCGCGCAGGAGTGGTGGGAGGAGAAGAGGGAGGCGGGGTTGGGGGGCTTCGGGGAAGGAGGAGAAAGAGGAAGCTGCGACGAGCTGCTTCCTTCTCTCGCTGCTGCCCAGCGCCCCACTTCCTCCTCCTACTTCTATTTTCTTTGGGTGCTATTAACCCTTATAATGCCTACGGCCCCGCTGGGTGAACGGGCACGCCGACCCCACTCCTAGGGGAACGTTCCCTAGAAATTCCCAGCCAACCCAGACTTGAAGCGCTGTTCTTCCGGCCTTCGGCCTGCTGTCTGTCCTTGAGCCCACAGCGCCTAGCCAGCTGTCACTTCAGGTGGGTCCCACTTTCCTGGGGGATATGGAGTGGGGTAGTTACTGCCTCCGAGGTCAGGAGCCTCTTCTTGTCGCCCTCTTTTTGACCACAGAAAGCATGGCAGGCATTGTTACAACCCAAATTGCAATGATCTCTCCAGGGAATCCCAGAAGACGCTGCACTCCCCAGTGCCTCAGTTTCCTCGTTACAAAGTGAGAATGAAAGATCTGCGGAGGCAGACCTTGAAATGAAAAAGTATCCCTAGGATTGAGAAAGCGCCAGGCTGAAATCTCCACTTCCACTATTGAATGGGCCTCTGTCACAATATCTTACAGGCATCCAAAACCCGCCACTGGGTCATGCGTTGTTGGTGAAAAACCGCAGCCCTACCTGAGGCTTTGAGAGATGCCACCACCAGTAACTTTTCTTTTCCTGAGTCCTTAAATACCAAGAAAAAGCAACTTCCTCAAATGGACAGAAACAGAAAGTACCCTTGTGGGAGTGCACAGGACTGGCTCCTGCCTGTAGTTAGAGACGGAAGGGGCTTAGTGCCCACCACCTCCCACTCCATCCACCAGCCCCACCCCACCTACCGCTGTGCTACTGGCAAGGAACTGTCAAGTCTGTGGGGGACTGGAAGAATGCTCAGAACACCCCACAACTTGATGAGTGGACAAGGTCTCTGGTTTCTATCATCTCAGGCCCTACTTCATCCACTGCAGTAAATAAGTAAATAAATAAATAAATAAATAAATAAAGGCTTTTGGAGGAAGAGAAAGTGGAAGCAGCCTCGAGGTGACCAGCGTAGGAAGGAAAAAGTAGAACTTCTGTAGAATTGGTCAATTGACTCAGTCTTGGCAGCTTGAAATCTTAGATTAGGAGAGTATCTTGAAAGGTAAAGAAACTACTGGAGAGATTATGGGAAGTTGGACTTCTTTCTTATAGCTGCTGTGCCAAAAAGTGAAGATTGAAGAGAGCTCAAGGAGACTGGCTCACTCCAGCGACCTAAACATCTGGCAAAGCCAGCTCTGTCCCATGCTTCAGAGATGAACACTTCTCCACCAGCAGCTGGCACCCAGATGTTAAACTTATAAGTTATTCGTCTTCCAACACTGAGCTCTGCCTGTGTCTCCCTGCCCTACAGCGCTGACCACCAGCCAAGTCTCAGGAACACCAGCAGATCTATTGGCAGAACTTAGAATGACTGCCACACAGCAACTTCCCAAACTCCTTCCTGAAGAACTCTAAAAGGGTGTCTCTGTCACTCACTGAGCACCTACTTGCATACCACTCTATATAGTTTTTTTTTTTTTTTTTTTTCCAGTACTGGAGATTGATCCCAGGGCCTTCACACTGAGCTACACCTTAGTCCTGAATTTGCAATCTTTCTCCCTCAGCCTCCCAGAATGCTGGGATTACAAGCGAATTCACCATGCCTTGGTCTTCTGTTGCTTCATTTAAAATGTCTATTTGCTATGGCTCTCCTCCCTTTCATGGCCTAATGTTTTCAAAGAGGAGCCTGATTTGTGTGTACTTCCTCCTGTTATATTTATTCCTCAGTGCTCCAAAAGAAGGTCACCAAGAAAACCCCAAATGCCAAATCCAGTGTTCTTGTTTTCTTACCTCACTACAGAGCTTGATGTTATCTTTCCTTCGAAATTCCCCCTTCAGCTTCTGAATTTCCTCCACCTCTAGCCACTATTTCTGTTTGTTTTTTCTGGTCATACTCCCTTCATCATTTCTTAAAGACTGGAATGATGTAGGTTTTATGTGGGGCTGCTTCTCTTCTTTCAGACAATTTCATCCATTCTCTTTACACTCATCCCTCTCAAACTTACAGCCCAGACTTGCGTCTGGAGCACCAAGTCACAGTCCTACGCCATCCTACTTCTCAATAGCCTCATCTCTCAAAGGTCCCAACTCCTCACAATCTCGTACTGGAGAACAAGCTTACAATGTAGGAACCCTTGAGGGACAGACCATGCCCAACTGATAACAGATGTTAACTTGAAAGTTGCATATTCTGGACTTTGTAAGTTATATCTCGGTTCATAAAATGTGGAAAAAGAAAGTCCACATTGGACGTTCATACCTCATGCCCTTGCTCATGGCAATGGCCCTGCGTAGGTGGCCTCTGCCCACATATTTACTGGACTGATTCCTTATTGGGTATTCAGGATGATCAGCAGAATCATCCCAACTGCTGACTGTTCTTGGGTAAATACAGATTCCTTCTGTAAAGATGGGCAAAGAGAAAAATTAAAGGTACAAAAGCAGATTCAGACTTTCAAAAGAAGGATACACAATCAAAGAAAATTAGTACCCTTTAAATTTTCACAGAAAGGAAGAAATTAAAACTTTTTTATTTATGTTTTCAATGATATTTCTCATATAAGTATAGTAGACTGAATTAGTAAACCATGCGCTGAGATTAGGAAACATTTTTTGTTTGCTAAGTTTAAAGTACAAGGGCCGGTCAAATAGCTCAGTGGATTAAAAGTGCCTGCAAGCAGGCGCAGGGGTGAGGGGGTTCGATCCCCGGAACTGCAGTGCTGGCCCCGCTCCTGGGGCACATTGAGACAGTAATTGAAACTGGGCATGGTGGCACGCACCTATAATCCCAGCTCGTAGGAGGCTGTAAACAAGCAGAGCGCTACGAGTCCAATCTAGTAGTGAGACCCTGAACCCCCTGTAGACCCTTCCCTAAAATGCAAAAAATAAAAAAATAAAAAAAATTAATGTACAGAAGAGACGGTGAACAGAGAAAGCTGAATGTGTGAATTAGAACATATACCTGGTAATTTCTAGAATTTCTAGAATTCGAGAAAAGATAAAAACTACTAGAGACAAGATAAGCTGTGAAGGCTACTGAGATCTAATACCCCTATTAGTAGGAATTCCACAATGAGGGGAGAAAATATGTGGTAGAAGAAATTTTCTCTGAACTGAAGAAAGACTTGCATCTTCTACTCAAAATCTGAACTTTCTAGTATGACACAAACGACTAAAAAGTTGACCAGAGAAAAGATACATCTGAAGTTTTGGAAATTATCAGACTCTCTCATGGAAAGGTCTCTGTCCTGACATCTATCAAGATTTTAAAAATTGAACTGGACTTTTTTTTAAAAAAAAATACTACAATAAAGAATAGAACACACTACCTTTCTCCTAAGATGGAATGGAACAAAGGAAAATATACATGCATCTGCTCATTTGTATAAAGTGAAACACAGGAAGAAATTAATGAAATTAGTTACCTACATTAGGTAGTGGAGTTAGCATAGAATGAGCGAGGCAGTAGGACTTGAGATAGACACAAGGGGAGAAGTGGCAGTTTTCCAAAGGTGCTTTTTTGGTTTTGTTCTGACTTCTAGAATGAAGATAATGTGTCACATATCCCCATATCCTCCTAAAAGTAAAATTAAGTGGTAGAAATCTAAAGTGGAATGTGAGCTAATATTGGAAATGAATGAGGAAAAAGGAGACAAAATGATAACTCAAGTAATTCAGGGAAACATCTTTTGACTACACACTGCAGAGCAAAACGTGAAAGACTATAGCACATGGTGATGGTTTTGCTGTTTGAGGGTCTAAGTAGTAAATCTTTCTGAAATGCATTTAGCCATTCCTTGTAATATTCACTAAGATTGGACAAATAAGTTAAATATAAATGAGGAGATCCAGGTTTCTTGATGTTGATGAAAGAAGTTACAGAATGTCAGGCATGGTGGCACACACCTCTAATCCCAGCATTCGGGAAGCTAAGGCAAGAAGATCACTGCAAGGTCAAGGCCAGCCTGAGCTACATAGTGACACTCTATTTCCAAACAAATAAAAAGAAAAAGTTACAAATAAGGGAAGGCAGAAAGCTAGAATGAATCAAGGTGTTACACTGGAATCAGAGATATCAGCATGTATTCGTGGTTTTTAAGAAAGAGAGACTGCCAGGCATAGTAGTGCGTGCCTATAATCTCAGCACTTTTCGAGGCTGAGACAGGAGGACTACAAGTTCAATTTTAAGCCCAGACTTACCAAGATCCTATCTCAAAATACAAATCAGAAAGGGTTAGGGATATAGCTCAGAGTGAGGGCCCTGGGTTCAGTCACACAGACAGAGAGAGAGAGAGAGAGAGAGAGAGAGAGAGAGAGAGAGAGAGATTAAAATACTTAGAAACAGATTGTGTGTTTATTGCATTGCCCTGTCTGCTGAGAGACTAGAAGTAATGATGTTCCACCAACAACTGGCACTCCTAACTCCAAGATCTTAGTTTCTAAATGTTATTCTCCAATAAAGGGAGAAATAACTAATTGAAGA